GACGACTCAAATACATGTTTGATTTGCTCTTTAAATTTCCTGACTGATTTAATTTCTCTCACATTTTCGGGTAAAGAGTTCCACAACAAAGCACTGCTGTAACTGAAACTTCGTTTCAAGTAGTTAGTACCAGCCTGGGCAATGTCAATTTATGAAAGGAATTGCCCAAATCGTTCGTGAAATAGGTTCTGCAAGTACACTGGAGCTTGTTCATTTAGAGATTTAAACATCATTATTGCTTTATGCTTCTTTCTCCTTATAACCAATTTGTCCCATTTGAGTATATCAAGAAGCAGGCTCGAGCTAGTCCCATAGTTGGCCTTTAAAATTACTCTAGCTACACGGTCCTTTAACTTTTGTAATTTGTCACTCAGTTGATCACTTAAGCCATCCCAAACGAGGCTACAGTAATCAAAGTGAGGTTGAATTAAGGAGTTATAGACTAGTACCGCAGTAGATTGAGAGATAAGGGGCCTGATATGTCTAAGGGCACCTATAGCCGAAGTTACCTTCTTACACAATTCGTTAACATTATTAGACCAGGAAAGCCGATTGTCGATAATGAGACCTAATGATTTTGCGTGATCAACATTGCTGATAACTTGGTCTTCTAGTTTGATGTTTATTTCGTCATGGCTTTCCGCAAGAAGCTTCTGGCGAGAGCCAATAACCATAAACTCGGTTTTCGCAACATTAAGACTAAGCTTATTGGCTTTTAGCCAACAGTGAAGGTTCAGTAGTTCTAAGTTAGTCTCTTGTTCAAGGTCAGCTAGAGAGTAGCCTGTGTACAGACGTCCCCCCTCCCTCAGGAAAAATCGGGAGAGGAGACGTCTGTGAATCGCCGACGATAATCGTGTTCCCGTTCCCCCAGAATGTTGGGGACAGCCTCTGATTGGTTGTAATGTTAATGCCATGACGTATATAATTTCCGGTGTTGTGATTGGTGAATGAACGTCAGAATAGATTCCCCGGGGAAAAGCTCAGCCTTTGTGGACATTCATATTTATTTACGGGTATTTGGATTTCGGCTCTCTGGAAAACTGGCTAATTTCAGAAGTTTACAAGGAACTCCGTCCAATCCCATGGCTTTCTTTTAGTCAAGCTAACTTAGTAGCTCACATACAGTTGTGACACTAACCGCGTGCAAAGAAAGTAGTGTCCGATAGCCCAGGGCTAGTGGATTTTGCTATCTGGCTAGTGAATTCTGTTTTTAACCTTCCCGACAGGCAAGTAATGTTTTTTGAGGAATTCGAATAACAGAAGAACTGTGACATCAATTCTGCTAGTCAAAAAGTTTTTGGGGCTAGTTGAAATGACGTCGGGCTAGTAAATGCTAGCTTCAGCTTGCCCGAATGGCAAGCTGTAAAAATGATTTTCTTTGCACCCTGCACTAAGAGCCCTTAAGGAGAAGGCTGTTTTAGTGGGCTGCAAATAACTTTCAGGGTCGATATTAGAAGGTGATAATTTACTGGCTAGATTTGGTCCAATAGATGTGAAAAAGTTATCAAAAGCTTCTGCAATTTCAGGCGCAGAATTTATAGTATTGTTATCTGTTTTAATTTCAGTGATATTGCGGTTTGTGCAAGATTTACGCGAGCTCAGTTCGTTAATTAGCTTCCAAGTTTTGGAAGAATTCTTTTTGTTCAACTCTAAGTTGTGCAAAAAATACTGACGTTTGGCTGATTTGATAGCATTGTTAGTTTCATTCCGCGCTTGCTTGTACTGTTCCCAACTAGCCGCATTGTTTTCAATAATAGCTTTCTTTTTTAAATAATTTCATTTATAGATTTTATGCATCAGGTCATATGTAATCCACGGAGAATGCTTTTTTGAGATCCGCTTTGTTTTCAGTGGGGCATGTTTATCGACAATTTCCATGAACAGGGTTTTCCATGATCCCACATAGCAGTTGGATTTGGCTCTAAGCTAATTAAATCCCATGGCTGTTGAACAAGGTCATTTAAAAATTTGTCGCTGTCAATTTTTTTGTAATCACGAGTTTCGATAGTACGGTGCGTGCCAATACGTTCATAACGTATTTTTATAGTCATAAAAACCAGTGAGTGATCGCTAATCCCAAGATGAACGACATCAGAGTTAACAATTTTTTCGGGAGAATTAGTTATACAAAGGTCAATTAATGTGCGTGATGTTGATGTAATCCTGGTTGGTTCAGAGATCATTTGGCTCAATCCGTAAATATCAAATATATTCGTTAAATTGGACGAAATGTGGTAGTTTGACCGATTGTGCAACATATCACAGTTCAGATCTCCTAGCAGGTAGAAATCGTTGTTTTCCCAGTCAATTTTATCCACCAGGATTTCAAATCGACTAAAAATGTCCTGGGAGGAACTTGGAGGTCGGTACCACGTACTTACTAAAAAGGGTCTAGAATGCGGTCTAGTAATTTCGATAACAAGACATTCGAGCTGAGGCGAAGGCCAAGGCTGATTAACACTTAACTCAACCTTGATTATTCTGGATATTGCAAATACTATTCTAATAACTGTTTTATTGTACATTGTTTGACAGAAAATAAAGATAAACACACCATCGCAATAAAAAAAGCACAGTTTTTGCTTGTGGAAAACATGCATTACACCTGCAACCTATAGATATTAAGTCATACATACATATCGCCAACGATCGTTTCGCAAACGTCTCTGGTCAGTTCGCAAACATCTCTGGTCAGCTCGCAAACATGTAGAAGTCAGTTCGCAAACGTTTAGAAGTCAACTCGCAAACGTTATCAACATTCATATGTGTAGAATTAAGCCAGTCCAGTTCAGATTTCGGATGTCAACATTTGAGCATACAAACTAACTCTCAAGCCTAGTCTTGTAGTTGATTTCGCTCTATCCCAGCGTTTGCGTGTTGCATGTACAATAGCTGTAATCCGCAAATCAATCTACCCATATGAAACAGGTCTTACTGTTGTTGTGTTCTATCTGGAAGCTTTCCTCTTTGAAGGAAGGTCCACAACTTCCGAGAGACCGGATAAAAAGCCTCCATCTTGGGATTAAATATTAACATGGTTGCTGAGTGACATACGTTGAACGTCTCAATGTCCTTCACTTCCCATTTCCGGTTCCGGTAGTGACTCTGGTTTGGTTAGAGGAATTTTTCAATGAAGTTGTTGTAATACACAAACATATTTATTGCTTACAATTAACACGAATTACATGCAATATACCTTATTACCTGCAGGGACATGTGGGCGATCAGAGTGATATCTGCCCCTATGAGACAATTTCAAATACTTCTATGGATCAAAATCACAGCAATATGACTGGTAGTCGATTAGATATGGCACCACTGATTTGTCGTTTTCCACCAAATAGATGACAACTAACTCTAATTGAGATAACAATAGCGCGCGTGTGTTTCCTACGAGGTAAGCTGTATGAAACAAAACGCACACCGAACCACACGCGTGTAAGCGAAGAGGACAAACAATTATCCTAAAGGACTGGGTTTAAATAAAGCAACTTCAAAATGGCGGTCTGCTTGTACCCAATCGACTTGTCTGTCCATTTGATTAAGAAATATACTTTAGCGGGAAATAAGCTGTGAGAGTTCACATCCAATAATTTACGCATACAACGAGTAAGTAATGTAGTATTCTGAATCGTATAGTTAAAGCCAGGTTGACATGTAAATGTTTGTAACGTTAAATTTCAGACCCAATAATTTAGGCATAACGTTAGTATTCTGAACTGTACAGTTAAAACGTAGGTTGACATATCAATGTTTATAACGTTTGCGAACTGACTTCTACACGTTTGCGAACTGACCAGAGACGTTTGCGAAACGACCGTTGGCGAAACGACTCGTTGGCGAAACGACCGGTTTCCATACGTAGGTTGACATATCAATGTTTATAACGTTTGCGAACTGACTTCCACACGTTTGCGAACTGACCAGAGACGTTTGCGAAACGACCGTTGGCGAAACGACTCGTTGGCGAAATGACCGGTTTCCATACGGCCATCCCGTAAAGCAATGCATATCATGGATGTTTGACTAGCTTTTGTCAAACAGTCATGATAAGCATTGATGAGCGCAAAGAATTGAAAAAATGTGGACTATATACTACCCCTCCAGCCCACATTTCGCACCTTCACTGCAGAATAGAAATGTACAACTAACCAATGTCCAGCAGCAGTAAGTGCTATGCGGCCACAAAAGCACAGTCAAGTTTGCCTGCAGAGATCGTAATTCATTTTTAACTCGTGGGGACGCGCGAGCGTACCACGAGTTATTGCAGGGACAGAGATATGCAAATGCGTCACTCGCTCACTCGTAGTAGACGGACTTCGTAATTAATCGGGTCCGAACTCGAGAGTGCGAAGATCTATCGCTTCCGAAGAAGCACGCGCTCTTGAAGTTCGGTGGGATCAAATTCTTCGCTGAGAGCGTGCATCGTTCGGCGTTCGCTGCTCAGACTCAGAGTTTTCTTTATGGCAAATTTTCTACAGCACGGTTAGAGGTCTTACCAAATTTAAGACACGTAGGAGTCTTTCAAATGAGTACGATGGTTAACTTGGGGATTGGATTTCAAGAGCCTTTGACTCGTCCAGGCGTTAAACGAGAAAATGAGCAATTACTCTTCTGACTCCGAAAGATCACACATTCACAGGGGATATACAAATTCCAGCTTGCTGGAAGGTGATCTGAAAGTAAGAAAATGTCATGCCATGCTATTCTTAAGAACCTGTATGGGTCGAAAATGGATGTGATTTTGACCATTAGCTTCAAAATAACAGCAGAAATCGAGATATAAGAAAACATATGTTTTGCCTCCTACTACGCTGACGATGTGTATCGGCTTTGTAAAGCACATGTCATTTTGTTCATTCAATGCCATGAAATGCGTTGACATTTTTTTTTCACTGTCAATAGCTCGGTTAATGCAGCTCGATCATACTGAACGAATTTGCTGGCGGAGGTGACATGAATAACGCATTAAGTTAAAGAGTTTTCGCCAAAGTGACCTAATCAGCCTTCGTTGTGTAGTGGTATAATAAAGTCGCATACAGCCGAAGGTTCCCGGGTTCAAGTCCTGCTTCGTACCGTTCTTTTTTTTATCTTCTTTCTTTCTTTTTTTTCCCGTTTTTGGTTTGTTTTGTTTGCTTATTTTTTTTGTTGTTTTTCTATAAATATGTACCTAAATAACCGTTATTTAATAAAATGCAATAAACAAAAAGAAAAGTATTGTGTTTGCAGAGCAAAGATAGTATTAAATATATTGTACATGGATAAACAATCTGAATTTCTATCATTTCCTACAATTTACTGTGGGAAAACCAGAGTTGATAACCATTTGATCATTTTCTAAACAATGTTCCCACGAGTTGACGATAGGCTTTCTTTGATTAAACTTACCAGAAGTTTTTGTCTTCTTTACATCGTGCACTGGAGTCTACTCAAGCCAACACCAACGCATAAAATAAGACGTAAATTTTTACATTTAGGGGTAGCAATGCTGCCAAACACCCGTGTGTCAGAAAACGAAAGCGGAAGCATTTTTTCGCGGCTTAGTGACCACCATATTTGGAACACATTTACCCATAACAAACCGCGGGCGATATCACGACATCGCGGGCGTATCTTCGTTTAGTCACGGACTCGTCACGCAACCTGAAGACACAATTTTCGTTTCGCTTTTTAATCCGAGTTTTTAAAGTGAGTAAGGAGAAAAAACAGCGTATTGAATGTATGAATGTTGCTAATATTGGGCCTGATCTCAGGTACTAGGCTTTGATAGATTGTACAAGCATTATTTTTGGCATAATTCGTCATCTACGAGCCGTGATCAATTTTCCGAAAAAAGCACTGCTCAAGAGCATAATTTTCACTTTTTTTGGCTAGTTTTGCAGCACAAAACTGTTATTTAATTATTGGTCATTTAACGGATGCTTTTGGCTCGAGATCAGTTTGAAGGCAACTTGGGGTAACAAAATCAACTTTTTATTTGTTGGTTTGTTTGTTTGTTTCAGTTTTTTGCATACATTGGACCTGCCGGTCCCACGAAGAGTGACTCAGGACTCTTTCTGGTTGTTAAAGGAGCTGTGTCACGAAATTCAGCCAAATTAGGTAATTAGGAAATGGTCGTTAAATTAAGAGAAACGTAAAAATAACCGCTTAAAGCATTAAAGGAACACAAAGGAAGGTTAAAATAACACAAAAGATGCCACAGATGGGCAAAACTGAAGAAGATTGGAACGGATTGAAATTAGGGTTTTTGAAAACTGATCAGCCTAACAGTTTTTAAAAGTTGATCATTCCGCTGTTTGCAACTTCAAAAATAATGCTCAAGAGACATATCTGTTTGTCTCGAATCCCTGCTTGTGTCATTTACAAGTAATTTCTTTGCTTACTTTAAGTACCATAGCGATTGAAGGCGAGTAACTGGCAAAATTAAACAAAATGAACTGGACTGCCGTGCCGCCCCCTTAACTGTTTGAGTTTTTAATCTACAATACAACACAAACAGTCCTTCATTTTAAGTGGCGCATTCTATACTCTTAGCTACTGAGATAAGTTTCAAAGCTATACCACCTAATTCACAAGAATGCCGCTGTGAAAGTTGACAGACAGTTTAACTTGTTGTTTCGGTAGTTTACCTTAATTTCTGCAGTTAAATGTCACTGCAGATACTTTGCGAGACAGTGATAGCCAGGGAATTTATAATGAATTATAAACTAGTTCGAAAGTTTCTAGCTCTAAATAGAGTAAATTTGTTTGTTTGTTGCGTAGTTATTGAGGTGTTTTTAACATTGTTAGAGTAAAAGTAGAAGCATAATTTCGGCTTTTTTTTTGCTAAAATGAGCATGATTTACAAACACCAGCATAATTATTGGCATAATTTTAGAAATATATGAGCACTGCAAGAGGCATATTATGCCACTCTTGCAAGCACAATCTATCATAGCCTCTCAGGCACTCATTTTTTAGAGAAATCCAACATGAAGCACAAAACAAGCAAATCTTCCGGCCTCAGTTTGGTCTAAAGTAAGGGGGGTCCGGACCCCCCGGGCCCCTCCCCTAGATCCGCCACTGCAACCTCGTGCGGATCCACGTACTTTTAATACAGCAAGTGACGTCATCAGTTTTAATAGTAGAGGGGCAAGAGATCTTTAAAACTAAATCCCGAATTGGTATGATTCAATCAAGTAGGCCGGAGAAGAATGCCACTAAAATAGGGGGAGCTTTGATCGAATATCTCAATGAGATCCAGTTCCATAGCCCATCG